ATAATAATAATAGTAATAATAATAATACGATAGATGTATAGATTGGTTCTCTATTCCTCTATATTATAGCTGGGTTTCCCGTTCGATGAACGAACTCAAAGAATCGATCGTCAAGTCAATGTGGGATCAGTGCACGCGCTCTTTGTGAACAGAAGCCTCACTTGTTTACCCTGGCGTCTTAGAAGACGGACTTTCCCAAGATTAGCTCTAAACGAAACTAATGAAAAGCTGAAAATTAAACTACAGTGACTTCAGACTTCTCAGTAAAATGTGCACCCTTTAAATGATTCTGAACCACTGTTAATATTTTCAAATTCGAAAGTTAAGTCGTTCCGAAGTTTTAGGCGGCCAAAGAGACGAACTTTCAAAAATATAGTAAGTGTAGTTACTATCGCGTATATGACGCGACTTTGTACCTACAAATCAGGGCTTCAAAATAACCTGTATTTTGTCCATGTGCCATAAAGACACAAAATTAGACATCTGCCCCCGAAAAAAACCCCATAACAACCGAACTAACACCACTGGTCAGGAAATCAGTATGATATGTTTATTTACGAAAACCAGGCTGCTAAATTTTAAAAAACCCAATAACTTTGATTTGTACAGTTTTGAAGTGTGATTAATAGACCTGATTAAAAACCAACCAAACAAACAAACAAATCTCCTCACTTGGAAATAGAACTCAGGTCTTCTGCGAACGAAGGCGAAGCACCTAACCGCTACACAAGAAACGCGGGTAGGTCCACCTTTCTTCGACACCGCGCTATGCAGTGGACCCGAGGATACGAGAACCAACAATCTGTAATGCGGCATGGTGGAATCAGGCTCTCGTCGTCAATTTTTGGGCATGTAGATGTATTGGTATTATTTGAAAGCTTGTCCACTTGTCTTGCTTTCGTTGGAAAAAATATCTAACCATCTTGAAGTCGCCTGGTGTCAGAGGGAAAATTAGCGAGAAAATAACCGCCAAATGATTTCGTAATTTCCATAGCTTGAGTGCACATTTACTTAGAAACTGCAAATTTACTTTTTTTCATTAACATAATTTTTCAATAAAATCCACACAGAAATCACAGAAATGTATTGTTAAATGGATGTAAAAGGTGCAGAGCCCAACATTTTAATTTTTAAAATCTATAAAAATTGTTTAAATGGTGGGAAAATGTTGTTTTTTTCGATTTCATTATTATTTTTGTCGAGCACCTGATTCCTTCACGATGCG